CAGCAAAGTTGCAGCGTACAAAATCAACTTAGAAAAATCAGCATTTCTATACACTAATAATGAACTAGTAGAAAGAGGAGTCAAGAATACAATCCCATTTATGGTCACAACAAAGAGAATAAAAAATCTAGGAATAAACTTAACCAAGGAGACCTATAGAACGTAAACTATAAGACATTATTGAAAGAAATCAAAGAAGACATAAAGATATGGAAAGGTATTCCATGGTCATGGATTGGAAGAACAAACATAGTTAAAATGTCCATATTACCTAAAGCAATCTACAGATTCAATGCACTCTGAATCCAAATCCTGATCACATTCTTCATGGAAACAAACAAAGAACTCTAAAATTTATATGAAACAACAAAAGACTCTGAATAGACAAAGCCATCATGAGAAAAAAGAAAAAAGCTGGAGGCTCACAATCTCTGACTTCAAAATATACTACAAAGCTACAGTAATCAAAACAGCATGGTACTGGCACAAAAAGCAGACACAGAGACCAATGGAACAGAATTGAAAGCCCAGAAATAAAACCACACATTTATGGACAGCTAATTTTTGATAAAGGAGCCAGAACATATAATGGAGAAAGGAAAGTCTCTTCAATAAATGGTGCTGGGAAAACTGGACAGCCACATGCAAAAGAATGAAAATACACCATTATCTTACACGATACACAAAAATTAACTCAAATGGGTTAAAAACCTGAAGGTAAGACCTGAAACCATAAAACTCCTAGAAGAAAGTATAGGCAGTACACTCTTCGACATGGGTCATAGTAGCATCTTTTCGAATACTATGTCTACTCGGGCAAGGGAAACAAAAGAAAAAATAAACAAATGGGACTACATCCGACTAAAGGGCTTCTGCAAATCAAAGGAAACCATCAACAAAACAAAAAGACAACCCACCAACTGGGAGAACATATTTGTAAATCATATATCCAACAAGGGGTTAATTTAAAGAACTCATACAACTCAACAGCAAAAAAACAACCTGATCACAAAATGGGTAGAGTCTATGAACAGACATTTTTCCAAAGATATACAGATGGCCAACAGGCACAGGAAAAGATGTTCAACATCACTAATTATTAGGAAAATGCAAATCAAATCCACAATGAAACATCACCTTACACTCATCAGAATGGCTATAATTACCAAGACAAGAAATAATAATTGTTGGAGAGGATGTGGAGAAAGGGGAACCCTCATACATTGCTCATGGGAATGCAAACTGGCACAGCCACTATGGAAAACAGTATGGAGATTTCTCAAAAAATGAAAAATAGAAATACCATAGACCCAGCTATCCCACTACTGGGTATTTATCCAAAGAACATGAAATCAACAACTCAGAGAGACTTATGCACCCCTATGTTCATTGCAGCATTATTCACAATAGCCAAGACATGGAAGCACCCAAGTGCCCACTGACTGATGAATGGATAAAGATGTGGTATATATATACAATGGAACACTACTCAGCCATAAAAAAAGACAAAATTGTCTTATTTGCAACAACACGGATGGACCTTGAGGGTATTATGTTAAGCGAGATAAGCCAGACAGAGAAAGACAAACACTGTACAATTTCACTCATATATGGAAGATAAACAAATACATGGATAAAGAGAACAGACTGATGGTTACCAGAGGGGAGGGAAGGGGATTGCCTGGGTGGGTGGGCAAAAGAGCTGAAGAGGCACATATATATGGTGAGGGATAGAAACTAGACTATTGGTGGTGAGCATGATGCAGTCTATACAGAAACTGATATATAATTACATACACCTCAAATTACACAGTGTTATAAACCAATATGGCCTCAATAAAATAATATTTTTAAAAGACAAAGTGCTTTAAAACCAAATTTTTGTGAAAAAATTCTATGACCACATTGAAACAATAGTCTAAAATCTATCTAGCTCCACCTCTTCTTTGTTTTATAGTCAACAAATTTTAACCAACAAGATATCCTTGATTTTTCCAAATTATTAAAATATAAAGTGTGGTCAGCTAGGTTGGAAGGATAAAGACTCTTTTGCTTTCCCTTCCAGTAGAGGGCTTCTACTGAAAGAAAAAAAGTAACATCTTTAGTACGGAAGGATTTAAATCAGAAGTTGAAGAATAATCTGGATTCTGTGGGTATCCTAATGCTAACATATTAGTCTCCTTCAGAATTTACACTGCTAAAATGTCTTTTGTTTCTGAGACCATAGAATATCAAGTTATATTATCTCATAATTCTTGATCCTCAAATAAACGTTCTACCGGACCATGCAGAGAATGGTGCGTTGTGAAGGAAAGTCACATTCTTACTAGAAACCTAGCTTTACAAGGTTCCTTAGCCTAGGATGTATTTTCAAAATTAAAAATCCTTTGAAAGAGAAACAAACCAAGCATACCTTATTACTATTCATTAACCTAAACTTTTTTATGTTCTTTATGTTTCTAATGCTGTGACATCAGAGCATTTTAAAATGTAAGGACAGACACATTATAAATAATGCTTTAAACACCATGATGCAAAATGTAATGGAAGATCTGGGTAAAGAGCATTTTTTTCCTTTTCTCTAGGTTACAAAATTAGTCATAAAAGATACTAAAATACTTTTGTTGTTTTCTCCTATCATAAAAGTTGATTTTTCTTTCAAAATAAAATATCTCCTCTTTTCGTGTGACAGAACATAATAATCATTTAGTTGCAATAGTTTGCTGTTAGAAATCTCGCATGTCAGTTAGTCCAATCTCCCTGTCTTCCAGCTTCACCAGACCCTGCAGCTTTCCGAGCTCGCGCGAAACCCCGAGTTGGCTGTCCTATGCTAGGGGGACATTGGACACACGCGCCCACCTTCTTCCACATTGCTGAGGTCTCTCCTGTCTCTAATCTGCATATCAGAAAAGCATAATTTTGTATCAGGTTTTGATCATTGATAGTCATCATTTAAAAGCTAATACTTTTTGATCACTTCTTAGTGCCAGGCACTATTTGGCATTTACTTCTCTCAAGAACTTACTCAAGAATCAACATTTATTATTTCTGTTTTCAGATAATGAGACTGAGGCTGAGAGAGGTTAAGTAACTTGCTGAAGATCACACAGCTAGGACCTGCTGGAGCCAGGACTCAGCTCTCCTAAGCAGTGCTGGAGTTAGTGCTTGTAACCGTTGGGCTACATCTCCAGGATTTCTGGTACTCTTCCCCACTGGCGCAAGGTATCCTGAATGTGCCCGGCACTTGGCTCTGTCTAAGCTAAGGATTTAGTGCTATTCTTTAATTGGATCTACAATTACTGTCTCATCAAGTTGGGAAAAGCCCTGGACCCTAGCTGTTAGCAATCACATAAAGTGTTCCATTATAAATAGACTTCTCTTTTTTTCTTCAGGTAGGTAAAACTTAAAAAATAGTGATACTCTGTTTAAAATTGCCAGTAGGCAACATTATAGTCATTGCATAACGTCTAAACTTTGTGTTCAAATATTCTCTAAATTCTATCCTCATCAGTCGGATAATTTTTAATTACTAAGAGAGTGAGGTTTTTTACCCAGATGGTCTATGGTATTACTGATTAGAAAACAACCAAAATAAGAAAAACTTCCTCTTATTTATGAATGACAGCGCTACATAAAGAAGGGTTAAGTCTGTGCTGTCCACTAAGGCAGCCACTGGCCACATGTGGCTACTGAGCATTTGAAATGTGGCCGGTTTGAACTGAGATGGGTGTTAAGCATAACATAAAAAGCAGATTCTGAAAATTCAGGGCACAAAAAAGGATGTAAAATATCCAATTAGCAACTTTTATATCAATTACATGTTGAAATGATATTTTTGCTATACTGGGCTAAATAAAACATATTATTAAAGTTAATTTCACCTGTTTCTTTTTACCTTTTTAATGTGGCTGCTAGAAAATCTTAAATTCCATCTGCGGCTTTGCATATTTCTCTTGGCCAGTGCTGGGTTAAGTGATTACTCAGGAATAATGAAAGTATAGGGGCAAGTGGAAGCAAGCAGTTCGTAGCATATATATTCATTAGTGCTTTTTCAGTGATAAGGTTAAATATCTATGTGATGACAATCCTACCATTTTCTCAAAGTTCTGCCCTCTTATATTGCCACTGTATTCATAAGAACCACGAGAAAAGGCATTTCCTTGTCAGGAGAGATTCTCAGACTGATTTTTCACTACTCAGAAATGTGGAGCTGGGATGACACATCGAGAACAAAAAAAGTACCAACATTTCTTGTGTGGGACTCAAAGCAGCTGGCGTGATGCTGAGCAGTGGCCACTGGTGCAGATCGCCCATCTCGGCCATACCGGTGAGCGTTACAGCGCAGCGGTGCAAAGCCAAAGGGCGCCCACGAGTTCATTACATAATTCCTGGTAGCTGAGGCCAAGCGCTATCTGCTCTGGGGAACGGTGGGCAGGCTCTGACAGGCAGACCGACCGGGTCGTGACGATGTTTGGACAGAGTATGTGCTGGAGGTTGTTTGTTTGGAAAAAGACTGGCCAGCTTTTTTCCCCTCCTCCCTCCTCTCTCTCTCTCTCTTTTTTTCCGCTTTAAACACTCTGGTATAATAGTGAATGACTTTGTTTTTAAGCTGCCTTAGCCTTGCTTTGTGAAGAAAAAGCCTGAGTATTCTTTCCCTGTAGGACACAAGTGTTATTTTTGGAGGAGAGGTTCTTAGCCTGATCTCTGTCTAAACCAATTTCTGTTCTTTGTGAGGTCGTGGTCTGGGACGGCTCTGAGTGATGTTGGTGGAGGGGAGCTTCCTGGCCTCCTGAGGGAGCCTGGGCAAAGATGTCCAGGGGCCATGTCTGAGAGGTCTCTGCTCTGGGTCTCGACATAAGGCTCCTTTGCACACAGATTCCACTGGTTAGACTGTGCCCTTGGAATGGTCTGGACCACGTGCCGTGAAGCGGAACATCTTTCCTGCTTATGTCACTTCATGGGATGTTTTGGGTCAAGGTGACCCCCCACCCCACCCCCAATTTTTTAACCCAGGGACTTTAGGTCTTAGACCCCTCAGAACTAGAAAGCCGTAGCTGGAGGACCTCTGCAGGTTGTTCAAGATGCAGCCGGCTGTGGAGGGTCACCGCGCACGCTGAGGGCCACGACTTGAGTCCCCAAGGGCCTCTGGGAACACGCGTCAGGACTCAAGGTCGCAGCATTCCCTTCTGTAACCTGCTCTGCGTCAGGCTGCAAGACCCAAGGAAGAGAACCTCTCCAGCTCCTCACAGTTGTCTTCCTGGCCTATTTGTTATTCCCGGGAGTTTACAGAGCCTGAGCCCGCTGGAAACATGTAACATTAGAAATAGGTTACTGCTGTCAGCAACAAACAACCCCACCTTATTAGGACTCCCTTCCTTGGGAAATGGTAGCTGTGTGTTCAGGGAGCAGGTGTAGATGGAGAGAGGCACCCATGATGAGCAAGTAGCCCCTGCGTGTGCTTCAGGCTGCTTTCGCCTCGGTGGGCGGGGGGCTTACCATGCGCTGTGCCCTTCCCCGATCGGCTATACATAGCCAGCAAAGCTTCTTACAAGAGAACCCTCCTGCACCCTCCGCCAGTCCCACGCGCAGACCGGGGAAATCGCTGCAAATCCCCTGGAAGTTAGAACAGGAACCGGCCGGCTGGGCCCCAGACGTGCCGAGTCTCCGCGGCAGCCCTCGTCCTTGCTTTGCTTTCCTGGGGAACGCGCTCCGTGCTCAGCCATGGTCGACATGGGGGGCCTGGACAACCTGATCGCCAACACGGCCTACCTGCAGGCCCGGAAGACCTCGGAGGGAGACTGCAAGGAGCTGCAGCGGCGGCGCCGGAGCCTGATGCTGCCCGGGCCGCAGTGCTGCGCCGAGATCCGCCAGGCGCTGCCCCAGGACTTCGACAGCCTGTGCGAGCAGCAGCCCATCGGCCGCCGCCTCTTCCGGGACTTTCTAGCCACGGTGCCCCCGTACCAAGAGGCCGGGGCCTTCCTGGAGGAGGCGCAGAGCTGGGAGCTGGCTGAGGAGGGCCCCGACAAGGACAGCATGCTGCAGGGGCTGGTGGCCACCTGTGCGGCGGCCCCGGCCCCAGGGCACCCGCACCCCTTCCTCAGCCCAGCTCTGGTCACCAAGTGCGAAGCAGCCACCACCAATGAAGAGCGAGTGGGCCTAGTGGCGCTGGCCAAGGCCGAGGCCATGGCCTTCTTGCAGGACCAGCCCTTCCGGGATTTCCTGGCCAGCCCCTTCTATGACAAGTTTCTGCAGTGGAAAGTCTTTGAGATGCAACCCGTATCAGACAACTACTTCACTGAGTTCCGCGTGCTGGGGAAAGGTGGCTTTGGGGAGGTAAGTGTCTCTGCATAGCCAGGCTGGAAGGTGAAGGATACGGCACCAAAGGGTTTTGTTTCACTTTTTTTTTTTTCGTCTCAAGGGACCTTAGAACTGATTTCAGAGCCACGTGCAGAGCATTCTTAGCTGGCTGTCACCTCTTCTTTCTGGTCACCATGTGAAATAAAATGAGAGTGGCACAGGAAAGACAAAATGTGGAACTGGCCAAGAATCTTTCTCATGAGGCACACACCAGGAACACACTCAGATGCCCTGGACACTTTGGAAAGTGTAGCAACATACGTGGGAGAGCTCCCTTCCCCTGTAATTGTGGTAACGGAGGTAATTTGAGAAAAACTTCAAATATCTAAGAAAACACTCATCTTGAAGTAAAGCTGAGAATTCATTTTGCACCACTGCTGTGCTCAGCTCTTTCCTTTTTTAAGTAGAAAAAAATCTTTAATTTAAAATTCACATAAAATTAACAATTAACCATTAAAGTGTACAATTCAGGGGCATTTAGTACAGTACAGTGTTGTGTAACAATCCCCCATATCTAGTTCTAAGACATTTGCATCACTGCTATACCCATTAACGGTTACTCCCCCTGCCAAGACCCCCGCCCCCAGCCCCTGGTGACCACTCGTCTGCTTTCTGTCTATGGGTTTGCCTATTCCGATGTTTCCTATAAATGGAATCAGACAATACGTGACTTTTTGTGTCTGGCTGCTTTCTCTCAGCATCATGTGTTGGAGGTTCAGTCATTGTAACGGGTATCGGTACTTCCTTCCTTTTTATGGCTGGATAGTATTCTGTGGTATGGGTATACTACATTTCGTTATCCATTCGTCTGTCGATGGACACTTGAGTTGTTTTGCCTTTTGGCTGTTGTGAATAGGGCTGCTATGCACATTCATGTACAAGTGTTTGTTTGAATACCTAGTTTCATTTCTCTTGCATATATGCTCTTCCACATTTTGCATTCCCACCAGTAGTGCACGAGGGTTCCAGTTTCTCCACATCCTCACCAACACTTATTTTCCCTTTTTCTTTTATTATGGCCCACCTCATGGGAGTGAAGTGGAACCTCCTTGGGGTCCCAGCTCTTTCTTAAAGGACACTTCTTACTTACAGCTTCTCTTTTCTCACAAGCCTGCCATCTTTTCACCTTGGCTGATTTCCACCCCTCCACCCCTCGCATTATCCTCTCCTTCTTCCCTCCAGTGCCGTTTACTTCTGCCTCTTCCTCTCCCTCTCTTTCTCTCCTTAAGGTATGTGCTGTTCAGGTGAGAAACACCGGTAAGATGTATGCCTGTAAGAAACTGGACAAGAAGCGGCTGAAGAAGAAAAATGGCGAGAAAATGGCTCTCTCGGAAAAGGAAATCTTGGAGAGGATCAGCAGCCCTTTCATCGTCTCTCTGGCCTATGCCTTCGAGAGCAAGTCCCATCTCTGCCTGGTCATGAGCCTGATGAATGGGGGCGACCTCAAGTTCCACATCTACAGCGTGGGCACGCGGGGCTTGGCCATGAGCAGAGTGGTCTTCTACTCGGCCCAGATCACCTGTGGCGTGCTGCACCTCCACTCCCTCGGCATCGTCTATCGGGACATGAAGCCTGAGAACGTGCTTCTGGACGACCTCGGCAACTGCAGGCTGTCTGACCTAGGGCTGGCCGTGCAGATCCAGGATGACAAGCCCATCACCCAGAGGGTGAGTGGCTCTCCCTCTGCGCCAAGGATGGGGCACAGAGTCGGAGAGGAGGGGAGAGGGCTGTTTAAGACTACAGAGCCTTGGATGTAATTCTTCTAGTTTCCTTTTTCCCAAAGCCTTTATGTTGTCCTCTTGTCTTGAGTAGAGCGGTGTAAGAGGATTAGCTTAGCTGGCTGTTTGGGGCTACTTTGCTCTCCTCTCATTGGAGTCAGAGGGGAGTGTTCTTTGTAGGCTGGAGATGGTCTGTGCTTTCATGGTGAGATGGCAAGAGCTGAATCCATAGTTAGGGTCTAGCTATGTTCCACCAATAACCACCCCCCTGGTGCCATGTTCCTGAGTCAATAGAGCCTTAATTTCCTCTTCTGGAAAATTTTAGGGGTTGCGCCCTGAAATTTCAGAATCCTAGGAGGTAAATTTTAATAAGGTAAGAAAAAGAAAAAGAAGAACACCCTAACACTTAGCACATTAAAGTAAATATCTCCTTTCCTGTTGAGTGTGGTATGGGAGAATGTTTTACATTGGAGAAAGGTGAAATTTTAAATGAAAATATATAGAAGAGAACAAAGGCAACTTATGTTGATTTTGACCAATTTGGTACAAAGTGACTTGCAGAGAATTCTTTGATCAAAAATGGAATTGTACTTAAGCAGTTATGTTAAGTGAACAGTACATTATCTCTGGCATTCTGATAGATCTTTACCACTGTGTGTCTGGGAGATTCCCCAGGAAGACAAGGGCCCAAGTCAGGTTCCTAAATATTCACTTAAAAGTTTATTTTTGCACAGATTCCAGCTTGCAAAGCAGAGAGAACAGTCCTGCAAGGAGGTGAAAAAAATCTTAGCTTGTTTGGGAAAGTATAGGTGGTTTTATGGGGCTGTAATGGAAGGGGTGCTGCCAAGATGTGCAGGGCTCAGATCGTGCAAAGGCATTGGAACGCTTTCTTGTGGGGACAAGGAGCCACTGAAGGGTTTTAAGAAGAGGAATGACATGATTAGATTTGCATTTTTAATAGCCAATTTGGAAGGTAGATGAGAGGCAAAGGAGCTAGTTAGGGGGCTAATGCAGTGGCCCAGGTGCTGTATAAGATGGCAGGATTGAAGAAGTGGGAGTCAATTGGAGCTATTGGAAAGACACTTGATAAGACTTCAGGACCAGCTGGGTATGAGGGTGAGGGACGGGGAGGGTCTCTACCTCCAGTGACCAGAAGGAGGAGCGGAATTCTGGGAAAGCTGGCATGTTCGACTGTGATCGTATTGTGCGTGGGGCTCCTGGGCAAAGGGCAGGTAGAGATGTCCACTGGACATTTGTACGGATAGGTCTGGTGCTGTGGGGAAAGATCTGGGCTAGATATCCGGATTTGGATTCACCATGGCTTGGGAAGCACCAGACACCACTGAGTCATTTGGGAGACAGTGAGGGAAGAGGACCAGGGATGGAAGCTGAGCATCATCCACATGTAGGGGACGTGGAAGAAGAGGGGCCTTGAGAAGGTTAAAGAAGTAGGAGTAGAGAAGGAGTGGCATAGTCACGGGAGCTGTATCAGTTAACGGTTGATTTCAGCAGCTTATCATAGAAAACCCAAATAACAGTGGATTAAATAAGAGGGGTTTATTTTTCTTATGTAACAAGTAGTGTGGAGATAAGCAGTGGTTGGCATTAGTTGAGCAGCTGTAGGATGATGGGATCAATGTCTCTGTGATTTTGGCCTTTTCCATGTGTTGCAAGATGGCTGCTCTAGCCCCAGCCATCAGGTCCATGTTCCAGGCAGGAGAAAGGAGGAAGAGTCAGGAGTAAATGGGGTTGCAGCTGAGTGTGCCTCTATTTAAGGAGCTTTCCTGGAAGTCCCATCTGACAGCTTCCATTTAAATCTTATTAGCTAGAGCTATTATCTGGCCATCCCTATCTGTCGGGGAAATTGATAAATGACATTTGTTGTGTGTTTTTTGGAGGGGGAGAAGGAAATTCTAGTTAGTGAGGAAGAAGAAATGCTGCACATAGAGCAGGTAACTGGTGACCTCTGCCACAGGAGCCAGAGGAGGGAGGTTTTGGGGAGGAGAATGTCGGCACTGTTGAATGCTGCAGAGAGGTCTTGCAGGCTGTGCAATGTGGCAGTTTGGAGACCAGTGCCCTCAGTGAGGGCAATTTCCAAGGTCTAAACTGAGACTGTGAAGGTTGGATTGACCTGGAAGTCAGGAGTGAGACTAAGGAAGGAGGGAGGCCGGTTGCTGGAGGGGGACACAGGGAGGAGAGTGGAGTCTTAAGGTGGGGAGAGTGGAGCAGACTTAGATGCTGAGATAAGAACCAGGAGAGAAAGTGCTGGTTCTATAGGAAGGAAAGAGGCTGAATGATGGCGGAGAAACCAAGGGAGAGGCAGGCGGCATGGAGGACTTCTGTCACACTGTCTACTGATGGGCAGGGAGGAGGGACGAGAAGGAGGAGGCAGTGGCTGTCTCCTTGGGACCTTGCTGTGGAAACAGGAATGGAGTGAATTCATGCTGTCTGTACACGAAAAAACCCTGAAAAGCATTACTTCAGGGTTTTGAATTTGTATTGTCGGTTATGCAGAGCAGAAATGCTCCTTCTGAGTGTCCCCTATTGTGCGTCATGCTAGTGGGTGACATAGCTGCACCTTGCTGGGGGCTTAAGAGACACGTAGCTTTGTCTCTCTCTTTTAAATCCCTTCTCAGTCTTCCTCCAGCTCTGTTCATGGGCCAAGAGAGGTTTTTAAAAAAAGATTTTAGCTCTTTTTGGACTTTTTCTTTTTTGCAGGGGAAGATTCACCCTAAACTAACATCTATTGCCAATCTTCTTCCCTTTTTTTTTTTTTGCTTCCTCCTCCCAACCCTGCAAAGCCCCAGTACATAGTTGTGTATACTTGTAAGTTGTTCTGGTTCTTCTATGTGAGCTGCTGCCACAGCATGGCTACTAACAGATGGATGGCATGGTTCTGCACCTAGGAACTCAACCCGGGCCACCGAAGCGAAGCGTACCTAAAACTTTAACCACTAGACCATCAGGGCTGGCTCCAAAAGAATTTTAAGGACGGTTCCTTCAGGGGCTCCTGCATCCAGGTCTCTGGCTCTTTTGGAACCTGCAGGAATCATGTCCGCTGTACAAATGCATTCGGTGGAGAAGCTTACTGCCTAGAGGCCTCTGGCTCTTTGGCCTTTCATGAGTCCCTCTCTGCCCCATGAGATCAAACTTCAGGGTTGAGACCACTTGCCCCATCCAAGAAGTTTTATGCCCCAGTTCCCGTGCCTGCCGCTGAAGCCCAGGGGACCGTTGGGAGGAATGGGGGCGAAAGAGTCAGAGAGCAAGATTGGAAGACAAAAAAAACAGAAGAAAGGAAAGCCTCCCTCCGTCACAGTTTACCCCTCGACACATGAGGCAAAGCCCCTCGGTCTCCTATTTTCTGCAGCTCTCACACGTGTAATAGGGCCCCCAAGTGGATTTTAAGGTCATTACACTTACGACATTTCACACAAGAAATGAAAAATGACATGTTTACAGGGCGTCTGTGACCACTAACATTGTTTTGATGTCAAGATACTGTATAAAGAATTCCTGTGAACACTATGAATAAGGTGAGAAGGAAAAGTCAGCCTGATTCTAAAGGCTGCTGTCTGCATTGACTCTGTGCTGTCGTTCCAGAAAAGTTCAGGCATCGTGGCTTTGGGAACTGCTCGTTCAGCTACTCAGGCAGTCTTGTGCGAGTTAGGAGTGCTTCCTGCTACATAAAACAGAATGCCAGATTCTCGACAATTCCAGGGCCAAGCTCTCTGTAAAACCCTCCTGCCCTTTTGCTTCTTGTCACAAGATGATTTTTACAACTCCAAACATCAAGTCCACATTCCAGTACAGAAGAAAGAGGGAGAGAGGAGCAATGGCAGCAGACTTCTGCTTATATCCTGTTAGCCAGGACCAGGCCACATGTTCACCACTAGCTGCAAGGGAGCCTGAAAAATAGACTTTTTCCGTTTCTAGCCTCTATTTTAGGGCATAGTAGGAGAGAGGGGGAGTGAGAATAGGTGTTGGGTGAGCTGGGAGCATCTGTCACATCAGCCCCCAGGAAAAAAAACATCTTATTAATAAGGATTAGGAACTCTGACTCAGCTTCTTAACTCACACAGCCATTAAAACAAGAGAATAATTGTTACAGTGGTGTGGGAGGCAACATTTAAGATGACGGCCAATCACCCTTGCCCTTGTATGATCTCCTCCTCTTGGACCTGTGAATATGAAGAGTTATCATTCCAAGGACTATATTTGCATTACAGGGAAAAATAGATTTTTGAAGATATAATTAAGATCACTACTCAGTTGACTTTGAGTTAATCAAAAGAGAAATGATCCAGATGGGCCTGACCTAAGCACTTGCGTCCTTTAAATATAGGAATAGAAGTAGAGGCAGCAGAAGTCAGAAAGTTAAAGCACGAGAGGGCTTCAAGACTCCATTGCTGGCTTTGAGGATGGAGGGAGCATGTGGCAAGGAATGTGGGTGGTCTCTAGGAGCTGAGAGCTGCCCCTGGCAACAGACAGCAAGGGAACAAAGACCTCAGTCCTACAACCACAACAAACTGAATTCTCCCATGACCGTGTGAACTTGGAAGAGGATCCTGAGCTCCAGATGAGAATGCAGCCCAGCAGACGTCTTGACTTTGGCCTTCTGAGACCTGACCAAAGGAGCCTGCTGCACTGTGCCCAAAATTCTGACCTACGGAACTGCGAGCTAATAAAAAGGTGTTGTTTTATGCTACTAAGTCTGTGGTAATTTGTTACATGGCAATAGAAAACTCCTACAAAGTGTTAGCAAAGGAAGGCAGCCAGAGGAAAGATTTTTTGTATGATAGCATCAGAATTAATGGAGAAGATTGCAAGGTGCTGGACATTGTTAGAGGGACAGTACCTTACTTTCCATCAGGGCTCAGAGCGCCCATGCCTGCCATCTGTTATCATAGAACTTGAGGCTGTAATAGAATTTGAAATTCTTCCAAGTGGGT